AGGCCGGTGACAAGCAGCGGAGTGGGCCGCAGGCGGATGGGGGGTGGCCGGCCACCGACAGCACAGGGAGGAAAGGAGAGGGACCAGGTTGCAGGACCGTTGTCACCGGCCGCAGCGACACCGATCCGGGTGGTGGTGTCGCCGAGCTGTGGGCCAGGCCCTGCGTCCCTAGAAAGCCCGTTGCGCCTTCGCAGCCCGCGGAGAAATGCATTGTGCATGACAAGTGTTGGTAAGAAAAGAAAATGTCGCTTCCTGAGCTCTAAGAGCAGCTGTTTATTGCACACGGCTAAGCCAGGCACGATTCCGGGACTTGTCTCTTTTGGGCCCTTCGAGGATAAGCTTGGAATATTTTCTCAGCCTCATCTCCTTAGAAAAAAATTTGACGCTCATCCCTAGGTCCCCTGGCCCTAAAGGAATTGAGTTCTCCAAACGATGGATCAATCTTGTAGGCATTCGGCCCCTACAGGACCCAGCCTGGGAGTGATTCTCAAAGTCCCGTCCTCGGAGCCCTGGGGGTTCCTCTACTCCTTCAGGAGGTTAAAATCGCTCTCATTCCACATAGGACACATACCTGCCTTTCCCACTCTCCTCTTCTGGGTATGCAGTGCAGAAATCCCAGCACGCGAGCCCAGATGCAGACGTAAGGACCCAGCTGTCTTCCGTGTGGCCTGGCGGGGAAGTGGCTTACACGCGCAGGACCTGCCTGGGCTGGGCCGCAGCTCCGCGGTGAGGTGCCCACTGCGTGTTTGGGAAACCATGATGGGCTCTATCAGAGTCACCCCGGAATGGAAAATAAAACCACATCCTCTTTCTCACGGGTTTTTTTCAAAACGTGGTTACGTTTGTGAAAATCGAGAATTTATGTTGACATGAAATTTTCTTTTTTGTACCGGGGATCAAACTCAGGACATTGAGTTTGCAAGGCAGGCGGCAGCGCCCCTGAGATAAATCCCTGGCCCGTTTTTATTCTTTTAAAATAAATCATCACCGGGCGTAGAGGCGCACGCCTGTAATCCCCAGCACTTGGGAGGCTGAGGCAGGAGGATCACTGTCAGTTCGAGACCAGCCTGGGCTACATAGTGAGTTCCAGGTCAGTCTCCACTACATAGTGAGACCCTGTCTCAAAAAAATAAAAAAATTAAAAACATAAAGTAAACCAGCAAGTTGGCCTTAAATGTCTATTTTAATTTTGTTGTTGATTTTGGGGTGTGTGTGTGTGTGTGTGTGTGTGCAAGCGCGCATGTGCAGGGGGGGTGTTGTTCTTTTGTTTTGTGTCTTCTGGTGCTGAGGGGGGAACCCAGGGCCTCCTGTGTGCCAGGTAAGTGCTCTGCCAGTGAGCTGTAGCCCAGCCCAGCCCTCAGATTTTTTGTTTGTTTGCTTTTGGTACTGGGAATCCAACTCTGGACCTTTCACTTTCGCCCAGCCCAGCCCTTGGATTTTTATTTTTCAGGAGTGACACTGACCCTAGGGTCTTCAGTGTTCAGCCACTCCCTTCTCTCCCTCCTTTCTTTCTCCTGTCTCTGTCTCTGTCTCTTGACAGGCTCTAGCTAAACAGTTCAGTTGCCCAGGCTGGGCTTGCACGCATGCGCCTCCTGCCTCAGCCTCCCACCTT